ATAGGGACACGTGGCTGGCTTGGTGGAGTATGCAACTTTTGATCTCAGGGTTGTGAGTTTAAGCCCCATGTTGGATGTAGAGATTACTTAAAAAAATATAATCGTAAAAAAAATGATAAAGATCAAAGCAGAAATCAGTAAAATAGTAACAACAGTGTAGAAGATCAATGAAACCATATGCTGGTTCTTTGAGATGATCAATGAAATTGATAAGTCTGAAACAAGACTGTTCGGGGAAAAAAAAGAATACGACTTACCAATATCAGGAATTAGGAGACAACACAATAAAGTCAATAGACATTAAAAGTACTATAAGGAAATAATGTGAACAACTTTATGCTTATTAAGGTAAAATGGACAAGTTCTTTGAAAGACACATACTACTAAAACTTGCTCCAGAAGCAACAACAACAACAAAAAAGTGATAGATAATCTGAATAGCCTATAAGTATGAAGAAATTGATTTTGTGGCTAAAACACTTCCCACAAATAAAACTGCAGGATTGGACAGCTTTTTCACTGATAATTCTCATAAACATTTAATGAAATAATCCTGAACAAACTCTTCCAGAATATTGAAGAGGAGAAATAGTTTCCAACTTATAATATGGGATCAGAATTACTTGATACCAAACAAAAGACATTATAATATATTGAAACCCAATAATATATTAAAAAGTTAATAAATTTTGAATAAGTTGGATTTACCCCAGGAATTCATGGCTAGAGTAATATTCTAAAGTCAAGCAATATAATTCATCCTATTAACAAAACAAAAAAGGAAAAATATATCATAGTATCAGTAGATACAGAAAAAACATTTCAAAAATCCATTATCCGTTCCTGATTTTTCAAAAAGAAAAACAACACGGTACTAGTAGAAGATAGAACTTTGTGAGCCTGATGAAAGTTATCTAGGAAATAATGGTAAAATGCTAAATGCTTTCCCTAAATGATCACGGACAAGATAAGGATCTCCTCTCCAATCACTTCTCTTCAACATTGTATGGGAGTTTCTATCTTTTACAGTCAAGCAAGGAAAGGAAAAGTTATTTGTACAGACAGGAAGAAACAAAGCTCTCTGTATTTGGAAATGACATTGTCATCTATGTAGAAAAATCAATAGACTGTACAAAGAAGCCACTAAAATTAGTGATTGTAGCAAGGGTAGTAGGATGTAAAATCAGTATAAAAATATAAATTGAAGTTTTATATCCTTCAATTAATACTCAGAAATTAAAATTTTAAGATATTGCAACTTAAAATAGCATAGAAATATGAAATGTGTTGGGTTAAATCTGAAAAGAAATGGGAAAGACTTAAAACTTAACACTGCTGAGAGGAATTAAGGAATATGGAAATAAATGGAAAGATACGCTATGTAAATAGATGAGTGGTACAATATTAAGATTCAAATTCTCTCCAAATTTAATTGAATTTAACTTAAAAGACTTTAAATGCAATCCCACTCAAAATCTAATTTTTGTAGAAATTGACAAACTGATTTCTACAATTCATATGAAAACCAAAGAACCTAAAATATAAAATAGCCTAACCAACTTTGAAAATGAACAAAGTTGGAGAGCTAACACTACCCAATTTTAAGGCTTTATAAAGCTAACATAATTAAAACAATGAGGTACTAATGCAAATATATACAAATATATCTATGTATATCTATATCTATGTAAATATATCTATGTAACAGAATAGAATCCAGAAATAGACTTAACACATATATGAACAATTGATTTTCAAAACAAGTGTAAAGGCCATTTAAGGTGAAAAGGATAGTTTTTTAAAGTGTGATGGAACAATTAGCTATTGATATTTAAAGAGAAGAATTTTGATCTATACCTCTTAACCAATACAAAAATTAATTCAAAATGGATAATAGACATAAATGCAAAATATAAACTACAAAAGTTCTTGAAGAAAATAGTAGAAAGCCATTATGACCTTGGTTTGCATAAAATTTCTTAAATTGTTAGATATGACAACAAAAGTAAAATCCATGAAAGAAGAAATTGATTAGTTTAGACTTCATCAAAAATTTTAAAAATCTGCTCTTCAGAAGACACTATTTAAGAAAATGAAAAAGACAAAACAGACTGGCAAAAAAATATTTGAAAAGCATGTATCTTAAGTATTTGTATCTGGAATATATACAAACTCTCAAAATTTAAAAAAGGCCCAGTTTGAAAAATGAGCAAAATGGTGCAGGCACTCTGGAAAACAGGATGGAGATTCCTCAAAAATTTAAAAATAGAATTACCCTACGACCCAGCAATTGCATTACTAGGTATTTATCCAAGGGGTACAGGTATGCTGTTTTGAAGGGACACGTGCACCCCAATGTTTATAGCAGCACTATCAACAATAGCCAAACTATGGAAAGAGCCCAAATGTCCATTGATGGATGGGTGGATAAAGAAGATGTGGTGTGTATACACACACACACACACACACACACACACACACACACACACACACACACACACTGGAGTATTACTTGGCAATCAAAAAGAATGAAATCTTGTCATTTGCAGCTATGTGGATGGAACTAGAGGGTATTATGCTAAGCGAAATTAGTCAGAGACAGACAAATATGACTTCACTCATACGAGGACTTTAAGACACAGAACAGATGAACATAAGGGAAGGGAAGCAAAAATAATATAAAAACAGGGAGGGGGACAAAAACATAAGACACTCTTCAAAATAGAGAACAAACAGATAACATGGGTGGCAAATAAGCACATGAAAAGATGTTCAGCAACACTAGTCATTAGAGAGATACGACTCTACACTTGTTAAATGACTAAAATTTAAAACACTTACTGATTCAAATGTTGACAAAAATATGGAGGAATCAACCCTGCTAGCGGGAGTAATATAATAGTACAGTTACTTTAGAAAATAGTTTGTCATTTTCTTAATAAGCATGTACCTACCATATTTTCCATCCATTCCACTACTAGGTATTTGCCTGAGAAAAATGAAAGCATATGTCCATACAAAGACTTGTACACAAGTGTTAATAGCAGTTTTATCTGTAATAGCCAATGACTAGAAACAATGCAAATGTCCATTAGAGGTGAATTAACTATAGGTATATCCATACAATAGACTACTACTCAGCAAAAAAAGAGAATGAACTATTCATACATGAGATAATACAGATGAATATTAAAATAATTGTGCTGAGTGAAAGAAGCTGGGCCAGAAAAAGACATACTGTATGATTCCATTTGTATAAAATTCTAGAAAACATAAACTAATTTTAGTGACAGAAAGTTGATTAGTGGTTGTCAAGGGATAGGCTAACAGGGAGATGAAGGAGTTGGGGTATGACAATGAAACACAAGGAAACTTTGTGGCACAATGGGTATGTTCCCTATCATTATATTGGTGGCGAAATGTGTCAAAAAAATTTTATTCAACTTATTTATTAATGAAGGAACCAGTAAGATGTTTATAGGTTCAAAGGAGAATTTGAGGAAGGGAGATTTATTTTATTTTATTTTATTTTTTTAATTTATATCCAAGTTAGTGTATAGTGCAACAATGATTTCAGGAGTAGATTCCTTAATGCCCCTTACCCATTTAGCCCATCCCCCCTCCTACAACCCCTCCAGCAACCCTCTGTTTGTTCTCCATATTTAATAAGAGTCTCTTCTGTTTTGTCCCCTTCCCTGTTTTTATATTATTTTTGCTTCCCTTCCCTTATGTTCTGTCTGTTCTGGTAGTGTTCTAAAAGTCCCTCATATGAGTGAAGTCATAATAATTTTGTCTTTCTCTAATTTCGCTTTAGCATAATACCCTCTAAGTCATCCACATACAACGCAAGATTTAATTCTTTTGATTGCAATAACTCCATTCAGTTGTTTTGTGTGTGTGTGTGTGTGTGTGTCCATGACATACACTCACATACTTTCTTTTATCCATCCATCTCCAGCAATACACATTTAAGTTTCCATAGCATTATTGTGCTACATAGTGCTGTAATAAACATTAGGGTGCATTGTCCTTCAAAAAACATACCTCAAATTTCCGGATAAATACCTAGTAATTCAATTGCTTGGTCGTAGGGTAGTTCTATTTTTAATTTTTTGAGGAATCTTGAGGATGGGAGATTTAAAGAGGGGTTTGTCAAAGGAATGTAGAAATGAATTTGCTAATAGCTAAAAAACCTAATTGATGTCTTCTAAAACAGTAGATAGTAACCATTACAGTTACTTTTTCTACTGGACAAATCCATTTGTATTGTTGATTAAGAATCTGTTTGCATTGCTCTCAGATAAGAATCACTGTTACTCGTTTTTTGTAAGGTTAGCTTATCAAGGTTAGCTTACAGAATTGCAAAATATCCTAATCAATAGTAAACACATAGTCAAGCAAAGGTACACACCCCTAGAAAATCACATACTCCTTAGGGGCAGGTGAGTGAAAGATACCCAGTTATTTCTTTTGGCTGTTTCCAAGTTTCAGATAAGTTTTCATCACGTAAGTAGTACAAGAAGATAATTGTTCATGTAATGAAGGAAGTACCTAAGGAAAGATAAATTCCTCCTATATTAAGTCCATGATAATTGAATTCCTATAGGATTTTTCTCACATCGTTAAGCAATGAACCATGTACTGTCTTGTGATTTTCCTCTTATTGTTGCTTTTAAGTTTTTAAATCATCTATGTAATATTTTGCGCATTTATCTTTCCTCTGCAATTTGATTGTAGGTTTTTCAGAGAGGGCATTCAGCTGCTTTGTATTCCCTGTTTTACCGAGCATGGTGCCTTGCACACAGTAGGAATTCAATAAATAATAATTGATTTAATGTGATACATTTGTGGAACTAAGCTCTATGTTTAAAAACTGGGTTATTTTCTTGCATTTGGCCACAGTTAGGCATAAAGTTGCTAAAACTTATGTTTAATTTTTATGATACCTATACATCCATTAGTAATGGTACATTCTTTATCTTTTTATTTTGTTCTATTAGGGGTGATTTACTCCGGATAGAAGGAAAAACACTACATTCAATTTTAGATGAAGTTGTTTTCAAGCTTTTATCAACTTCTAGCTCTGTGATAAGAAGTACTGCTGCAAAGCTTCTACTGCTGATGACTGAAACCCATCAGGAAATTTTGATTTTACTGAGACTAAGTGCCTGCTACAAAGGTAGTGCATATATTCTTTATTTTCTTGAGATTCTCAAAAAGAAATTTTTATTGATGGTTTACAAAATTTCTGTATTTTTTAAGGTTTTATTTAAATTCCAGTTGTTATGCAGTGTAATACTAATTTCATGTGTACAATTTAGTGGTTAAATAGTGTTGGGGATTAAGAAGTATGCTTGTGATGAGCATTGAGTGTTGTATGGAAGTGTTGAATCACTAAAATTCTTGTACTTTAAAAAACTCAATAACTGGTGTGTGTAGATAAAACCCTATTACAACAGATACCAATTCAGGAAAAAGTCTTTATGTAATCAAGCTTTCTTTGTGTCTCAACAGATGGCTTATGGTGCTTTGTTGATGAGGTTACAATGGATACTTCTCTGACAAAAAAAGTTGTGTATTGAATATACTATGTAGTATAGTAAAATAATGACCAAAAAGACTGGTGACCTTAATAAGATTAACTTTACTGGAGAAAATAGAGCTATGCTTGAGAGATTGACAGCCCTTTTGATCTTTACATCAATTTATAATACTCTTCAGTATTCACTGAATACTTTTCACTGCTTTTTCTCAAAGCAAACAAAAAGTCTTCCTCACATCCAAAATTATATATGAATAAAAAGTCAGAAATTTGGAGGAGGAAAGGCTCAGCACAATGCCACTCCCATATAATAGCTTTCATTTAATTGAAAATTTACTATGTCAGTTATAGTTCTGTATACCTTATTCTACATTAAAATATTTAAAAACCCTGTGAGATATCCTCATTTAAAAATTTTTTTTAAATGTTTATTTATTTTTGAGAGAGAGAGAGACAGACCATGAGCAAGGGAGGGGCAGAGAGAGAGGGAGACACAGAATCTGAAGCAGGCTCCAGGCTCCGAGCTGTCAGCACGGAGACCGACGTGGAGCTCAAACTCACGAACTGTGAGATCATGACCTGAGCCGAAGTCAGACACTCAATCGACTGAGCCACCCAGGCACCCCAAGAGATATCCTCATTTTATAGCAATGGAAGCAGAGCCATGAAAAAATTAGGTAATTTATCCAGAATCCCACAGATGATGGTGTTATTGGTTTTGTTTTTAATTGCCAAGCAAAGTTCTGTTAGGTTTGTTTTATTTCTTCGCAACCTGGGGCCATGAATTCATTACACTATATTTTCTTATTCAGCATGGTCAGGAAATAGGTTTCTAGTTCTGAATGTACTTACTAATACAGGGCCATATTATATGGAAATTTTTAAAGATTACAACATTAAATTATGCTTTTAATATCCAGACTGTTACAGTGGCCTTCTAATCATGCTTGATGATTTGGAAAGCACTATTTAGTAGCTTACCTTCCATCAGTCATTACTGTGAACATTGTAATTATTTTGTTATAGGAATAAAGATGGAAAGAAAGTGCCAGTAATAGTATTCTCCAGTTGATATTGTGCCAAATAGTCATTTTTAAATTTTGTAATTTGATTTATTCTATAGAAATGTGAATGTCTAATAGAGTTCATTATAAAGGAATTTCACCTTAACAATTCATCTCCCTTTATTTTCTCAATAGTAGAACTTACTCAGTTTCCTCAAGATATTTTACAATTATTAAACAGAGAGGGAGGCAAACCATAAGAGACTCTTAAATACAGAAAACAAACTGAGGGTAGATGGGAGTGGAGAAAATGGGTGAAGGGCATTAAGGAGGGCAATAGTTGAGATGAGCATTGAGTGAGCATGTTAAGTGATCAATCACTGGATTCTACTCCTGAAGCCAAGACTACACTGTATGTTAACTAATTGGAGAATAAATAAAATTAAAAAAAATAAATTAGAAAAAAAGCTATTTTACAATTATTAATACCGCTGAGAGCTTGAGTTTTGAAGAGAGTATAAAGACATGGTCAGATCTGTATAGTGGCCTCCCCAATTATATACACCAAGGGCATTTTACTTTATTTACAGTGAATACTACAATACATCATTTCAACATGCTTACAAATAGTACTTACTTTATAGCTTATACTACTTCTGTGTTTTATTTTGGAATGAAAATGCAGTATTTATAGCACTTCTATAATAATTGCTCAGTAACCTATTGATTTGCCCCAAATTACATACAATACTGTATATTTTTATTTAATAAATAGCTTTCTTTAAGAATGACTAGTAACCTGTTTAAGTGCTTCCACAGTATAGTCATTTACTCAGTATGCTATTTATTTTTAAAAGTGTTTCAGCTTAAGGTATTTATGTTGAAACAGGTAAAAAATTCTGTATCTCTCCTCTTTGATTTACCACAATGATTCCACTTAAGATACTGAGGAGACAGCCTTTGCATCAGATATTACAAGTGATCACATAAAATCTCTTAGGACAGAGAAATATCCTAAAGACTTCAATCTAGAAGTCTTTGAGAAAAGGAAAAAAAAAAAATCATGTAATTAATCTTACTGTTGTATTCATTTCTTTCTAAACCAGACTTTTTAACCTCAAATTAATCCTGATTAGATAGCAAATCATATTTTATTTTATATGTACCTTTGTTATTCCATTTCAGGACTCAGAAGTCTACGAAATAAGCAGGAGCCTGGGACAGAGTTTAGTCAAGAACTTGGACAGCTCATTGCCCTTTTAACCCCAAAGGTCTATCAGGAAGTAGAAGAACAGGTAATAAATTCTAAAAAAATAACTTGTGTATTTGCTAACATGTCAGTAAACATTTTAGTTTCAAAATACTGGAGAGTGGTAGCTTCTTGAATTTTTTATTTGCTGTCTCTCCCCCATTCTTTACTTATCTCCTCAAATATTCAGAGCAGCTGTAGTTTGATAGGGTAAGGGGTTTCTGTGGACCCGATTTTTAACCTTAGAGCCTTTTTTCTTTTTTAGCCTGTTCAAAGAGTTATTCATACCCTTGAATGCTTGAATAAATGAGGTCAGGCATAAGAAGTCAAGCAGAGGGGAAAGCATTTAAAATCAGAACTATGAAATCTTTATAAAAAGAGTAGAAGTGAGATTAATTAAGGAGAATCCAGAGATAATCAGACTGTATCTTGAACACATTCTAGATACTGCCTGAGAACCTAGTGTATGTACCTCTTTTGGCAGGTCGGGTTTAATATTCTTAGACCTTACCTGTCCTTGTCCTATGAAATTGCCTCCTCCCCAGTTTATTAGAGGTAGAGATTAATACTTGCCCAGGCCTGATATTTTGAGAGGTAAACTTCTAAACAAGATTTTCCTAGAAATGTCTCTATATTAATTCTGGCCTTTAATTTCAGAAACTACATCAAGCAGCTTGCTTGATTCAAGCTTATTGGAAGGGTTTCCAAACTAGAAAGAGGTTAAAGAAGCTTCCATCTGCTGTGATTACTTTGCAGAGGAGTTTCAGGTAAAAAGTTCTGGTGAGGCATGATGATCTCAGAGGATAGATATATCTTTTTACACTATAGCTGAGTGAAAACTTAAGGTGTTTTTTCCCCTCAATTTTTCTAGTATGTTTCTTTTACTCTTTTTTTTTAGTTAAAGGATAGTTCACATACAATATTACATAAGTGTCAATTATACAAAGTGATTCGACATTTATATACATTGTAAAATGATCATGATAAGTCTAGTTATCAACTGTCATCACACAAATGTATTACAATATTATTGACTATATTCCCTATGCTATACTTTACATCCTTTTGACTTATTTATTTAATAACTGGAAGCTTATGCCTCTTTTCATTTATTTTGTCCATCCCCCTGCCTGTCTCCCCTCTCTGGCAACAACCAATTTATATCTGTTTTTATAGATCTGTTTGTTTTATTTACTTTGTTTTTTAGATGCTACATATAACTGTAGAATCATATGGAATTTTATTTTCTCTGACTTAATTTCACTTAGCATAATTCCCTCTAGAACCATCGATGTTATCACAAATGGTAAGATTCCATTCGTTTTTATGGCTGAGTAATATTCCATTGTATTTATTTTATATACCACATCTTCTTTATCTGTCTAATTCATGGACACTTATGTTGCTTCCATATCTTGGCTATTGTAAATAATGCTGGAGTGAAGATGGGGTGCATATCTTTTTGAATTCATATTTTCATTTTCTTTGGATAAATACACATAAATATATTTGCTGGATTATAAGGTATTTCTATTTTTAATTTTTTTAGGAACTTCCATACTGTTGTCTATAGTGGCTACACCAATATACATTTTGACCCCCATGCACTAGGTTTCCCTTTTCTTTCATATCCTTGCCAATACTTGTTATTTCTTGTCTTTTTACACTAGCCACTCTGACAAGTGTAAGGTAATACCTCATTGTGGTTTTGATTTGCATTTCCCTGATGATTAGTGATGTTGAGTATTTTTCCATGTGTCTTTTGGCCATCTGTATGTGTTCCTTGGAAAAATGTGTATTCAGGGTCTCTACCCATTTTTTTAACTGAATTTTTTAGGGGCGATTTTTGGTTTTGAGTTGCATGAGTTCTTTATATATTTTGGATATTAACCCCTTATCAGATATATCATTTGCAGATAATCTTCCCCATTCGTAGGTTGCTTTTTGTTTTGTTGGTATTATATCACTGTATAAAAGCTTTTTAGTTTGACATAGTCACAATAGTTTATTTTTCCTTTTGTTTTCTGAGGAGACAGATCCAAAAAAAAAATTGCCAACACTGATGTCCAAGAGTTTATTGCCAGTGTTTTGTTTTAGGAGTTTTATGGTTTCATGTCTTACATTTAGGTCTTTAATACATTTAGAGTATTTTTATATAAGAAAGTGGTTTAGTTTCATTCATTTGCATGTAGTTGTCCAATTTTCCCAGCCACCATTTGTTGAAGAGACTATCATTGTATATTCTTGCCTCCTTTGTCACAGATAACTGACCATAGGAGTTTGGGTTTATTTCTGAACTCTATTCTTTTTCACTGGTCTACATGTTTTTGTGCCAGCACCATACTGTTTTAAATACTAGGGCTTTGTACTATAATTTGAAATCTGGGAACGTGATACCTCCAGCTTTGTTGTTCTTTTTCAAGATTACTTTGGCTATCCAGGGTCTTTCGTTGTTCCATACAACTTTTAGGATTCATTTGTACTAGTTCTGTGAAAAATGCCAATGTAGATAGAGACTGCATTGAATCTGTAGATTACTTTGAGTAGTATGGACATTTTAATATTAATTCTTCTAATCCATGAGCACAGTATATCTTTCCACTTGTGCCATCATCAGTTTCTTTCATCAGTGTCTTATAGTTTTCAGAATACAGGTCTTTCACCTCCTTGGTTAAATTTATTACTAGATATTTTATTATTTTGATACAATTGTAAATGGGATTGTTTTCTTAATTTCTCTTTCTGCTACTTCATTATTAGCATATGGAAATATAACAGATGTCTGTCAATTAATTTTTTAACCTACAAATTTAATGAATTAATTTATTCTAATAGTTTTTTGGTGGAATCATTAGGATTTTCTATATATAGTATTACATCATTTGGAAACAGTGATGGTTTTCTTCTTACTTCCCAGTTTGGATGCCTTGTATCTCTTTTTCTTATCTGATTGCTATGACTAGGACTTCCAGAACTATGATCAATAAAAGTGGCAAGGGTGAAATCCATGTCTTGTTCCTGATCTTAGAGGAGAAGCTCTGTTTTTCACCATTGAATATGATGTTAGCTATGGGTTTGTCATATATATCCTGTATTATTTTGAGGTATCTTCCCTCTAAACATACTTCATTGGGAGTTTTTACCATAAATGGCTTATTGGATTTGTCAGATGCTTTATCTACAAGTGTTGAGATTATCATATGATTTTTTTCCTTTGTTAATATGGTATATCATATGGATTGATTTGTGGATATTGAACCATCCTTGCATCCCTGGAATAAATCCCACTTGATCATGATGTATGATCCTTTTAATGCATCATTGAATGCCATTTGCTAATATTTTATTGAGGAATTTTGCATCCATCTATGTTTATCAGGGTTATTGGCCTATAATTTTCTTTTTTTCCTTTTCTTTTTAGTGTCTTTGTCTAGTTTTGGTATCAAGGTAATGCTGGCCTTGTAGAATGAATTTTGAAGTGTTCCTTTCTCTTAAATTTTTTGGAGTAGTTTGAGAAGAGTAGATACTAACTCTAAATGTTTGGTAGAATTCACCTGGGAAGCCACTGATCCTGGACGTGTGTTTGTTGGAAGCTTTGCTGATAATTGATTTGATATCATTACTAGTAATTGGTCTGTTAAGATTTTGCTTCTTCCTGATTCACTCTTGTAAGATTGTATATTTCATTTTTTGTGGGTTCTATGTTGTCTAATTTGTTGGCATGTAATTTTCCAAGTAGTTTCTTATAATCCTTTGTACTTCTATGGTGTTAGGTTACAACTAACCTTTCATCTGATTTTATTTATTTGGGCCCTCTCTTTTTTTCTTGATGAATTTGGCTAAAGGTTTATTTTGCTTATATTTTTGAAGAATCAGTTCTTAGTTTCATTGATCTTTTTTTTTTTAATTTAATTTATTTCTGCTCTGGTCTTCATTATTTTTTTCTTCTATTAGCTGTGGGCTTTTTCTTTTTCTAGTTGTTTTAGGTTTAAGATTAGGTTTTAGATTTTTTTTTTTTTTTTTTTTTTTTTTTTTTTTTTTTTTTTTTTTTTTTTTAGGTAGGCCTGTATTGCTATAAACTTTCCTCTTGGAACTACTTTTGCTGAATCCTATAGATTTTGGAATGTTATGTTTCCATTTTTATTTGTCTCAATGTAATGTTTTATTTCCTCTTTTATTTCTTTGTTGACCCATTGTTTATTTAATAGCATGTTGTTTAGCCTCCACGTGTTTGTGTTTGTTCCAGTTTTTTTTTCTTGTAATTGATTTCTAGTTTTATACCATTGTGGTTGGAAGAGATACTTAATATGATTTCAGTCTTAAATTTGTTGAGACTTATTTTGTTGTTTAACCTGTGATTTATCCTCAAGAATGTTCCATGTGCACTTAAAAAGAATGTGTAGTTTGCTGGTTTTGGATGGAATGTTCTGTGTATATAAATCCTTCTGGTCTAAAGTGTCGTTTAAGACCACTTTTTCCTTATTGATTTTCTGTCTCGATGATCTATTTAGTGACATAAATGGGTTATTAAAGTCCCTGCTATTATGTATTACTGTCAGTTTCTCCTTTTACATTTGTTAATAATTTGCTTTAAATATTTAGGTGTGTCTATATTAGGTGCATATATTTATATATGTAATATATTAGGTGAAAAAATATATACGTTTACAACTGTTAAATCCTCCTGTATTGATTTCTTCATCATTATGTAATGCCCTTATTTGTCTCATGGTCTTTGTTATAAAGTCTATTTTGTCTGATATATGTATTGCTACTTCAGCTTTCTTTTCACTTCATTTGCATGAAATATCTTCTTTCCATCCCTTTATTTTCAGCCTGTATGTGTTTTTAGGTCTGAAATGAGTCTCGTAGGCAGCATGTAGATGGGTCTTCTTTTTTATCCATTTAATCATGCTGTGTCTTTTGATTGGACATTAGTCCATTTACATTTAAAGTAATTATAACAGGTGTGTACTTATTGCCATTTTGTTCATTTTGTTCATTGTTTTTGTGGTTGTTTTTTTCTTCTCTTGTTTTCTTTTCTGTGATTTGATGACTTTTAGTGGTATGCTTGGCTGTCTTTATTTTTTGTGTAGCTGTTACAGATTTTGGGTTTGTGGTTACCATGAGGTTCATATATAATGCTCAATTATGGTTTGAACACATTCTAAAACACTCTCCCACCACCATGTTTTTGACATCATATTTTACTCTTTATTTTAGTGTCTCTTAACTAATTATTGTAGATACACTTGACTATTACTTTTGTCTTTTAGCTTTCATACTAGCTTTATAAGTGGTTCGTCTACTGTCTTTACTATATGTTTGCTTTTACTAGTGAGATTTTTTTCTTTTCATAAATTTCTTCTAGTTATGGCCTTTAACTGCTTAAAGAAGTCCCTTTTAATATTTCTCGTAAGGCTGGTTTTTGTGGTGATGAGCTCCTTTAACTTGTGTTTGTCTGGGGAACTCTATAGCTCCTTCTATTTTGAATAATATTGCTGGGTACTCTTGGTTGTAGGTTTTTCCTTTCAGAACTTTGAATATATCATTCAACTCCCCTCTGGCCTGCAAAGTTGCTGCTAAATATCAGCCTTGTGGACATTCCCTTATTACATAACTAGTTTCTTATCTCTTGATGATTTTAAGATTCTCTCCTAAATTTTTGACATGTTAATTATTGTGTTTCTTGGTATTAACTTTTTTGGGTTAATCTTGTTGGGAGTTTCTGTGCTTCTTGAACATGGATGTATGTTTCCTTCCCCAG